ATATATACAATACTTTCACAAAAATATTAGGAAAGTAACATAGACATTTGTTTTTTTCTGTATTAAGCTATATACACTAGACACAAGCCTAAATTATTAAGTAAAACATATCACAGACTTAAACATATAAACATAGCCTCAAGTTCCAATTTGGCACCCATTTATATTTTTAAAGATTGGCTAAAATAAATTAACCTCCCAATTACATAACAACCTTATGGACACACATTCACTTACGTGGTGTAACATAAAAAAATCCAAGAAAATCAAAAGTCTTAACTTTCCATTAAGGTTTCTGAGCCACTTATTTTAGAGCTTTAAAAGTCACTGGAGTTCATCCAGTCAACTCTGTTCTCTTACAGAAAATGAAGCCCTAAAGAAGTCAAGTCACGAGCTAGTTCAGTTACAGCTAGATATAGAACCTCAACTCTTGACTTCAGGGTCAAGGCTCACTCTCATACACCATGTTGCCAACAAAAGTTAAGTATGACAAGTCTTTACCACGAAAATACTTTGTATGTTAAAGTGACAGTGATTTGTAATAAAAAAGCTATTTATTTTATTTCACCCTTTACTCAAACTCCTGACAGCATAAATATTGATAGCTAAAGGAGTGCATATATGATATTTAACCCTCTAAAGGAGGAAAATAAATGCACAAGAATATCATCTAGTACCTTAACATGTAACAATAGTGATAATATTAAGTGCTTTTATATTTGCTTGGAAAAAAGCTATGCTAGCAATAAACTCAAAAGCTATCTCCTCTAGAAGTTTTCACAAATATTGGTCATTCTACACTAATCATCAACCCACTATAGCAATCACTTTAGCTATTTTTTAACTTATATATATATTCACCTGTCTCTTCAATTATACTTCAAGATCTTTATGAGGAAGAATTCTAACACTCTATGACTTCCCTCAAGCAGATTAAAAGGTATTCTGTCCATTCTACAAATACAAACTTTACAAACATTACTCTCCCAATCCTTCTGAAAATTGGCAGCAATAAAAATTTAGAATCATGAATCTTAATTTTCTGGGCCATCTTTCCTCCCCAACTTTTAACTCACTGAATAAACCTTGGGAAATCAGCAAACCTGTCTCAAGTTTCCTTCTAAAATAGGGATTGTAAGGGAGCTTCTGATTACATGAACAAGGCTGAGGAATAATTTGAAAATAATTGTACGTAAAACATATTCTTTACAGAACATTACGATCATGAAAGAACTTTAACTGTAAGATTTGTATACACTAAACAAATGCAGTAGAGCTGGAAAATGGCATTTAACTTTTTAAAAAATCCTTATCAAAGAAAGACAAAACTTTTGTATTTTCAGACCCAAGATGGTCTATGTATACAGCTACTCCAAGCAAAGTATCTACAGGTCACGTTCAGTTTCACTGACAATTACAAAAGCTTATGAAAAAATATCTTCCACTGCAAAGTTAAGCCTTCTTACTTTTACAGTATTTTCAAAGTTCTGACTACAAAGGCATTCTAAGGTTCTCTCCAAGTGTTCACAAACGCTGGAAACATCTCTTGAAATATACAAGTTCAACACTCACAGCAATATTACCGACCCAACAATTCCAAGTATTGTTATTACCAATCATATAAAGCCAAAATCCCATCCCTTAATTCATATTACGATATTAATAGACTGAACATACACAAAGGAATCAAGTTCTTATTGTGCTCTGCCTCTTACTAAAACTTAAGTTCTTGATAACTGTCAAACGTCTTTTAATCACTATTCAGTAAACTATATTTTTCTGTAGAACCTTTGAAACGCATAGTAGTACATTTTAGAGAATAAAAGGCTGGTCACCACTACGTGTTATACAATACATACGGTTATATTATTCCAGACTTTATGTGAACTTAAAGTTCTTCTTAAATTCAGAGATACACGTGTTCGTGATTTTCCCCAAATGACCTGAATCACAGAGTTTCGCCAACCAAACTACCAATTTCAAGTCCCCCACCTAAAAACAATGGATGGAAAAAAGTGTAAGATCTTTTACAGCATGACTGTTCGGTAAATATGTCTCATCTTCCAATTCCCATCGATGGCGACATGAAATAGAACCCGGGGAAAGGAACATGTATGCTTATTACTACATTAAGTAAACAGTATTCAAGCTATGCTAAATCGATCCAAGGCCCTCACTACGCTGTCTATTAAGTAAAGCTTCTTTTTTCCATGTAACTTAAGTCCGTGCCCTTCCGCTGCAGCAGTGGCGCTGCACATCCCCCACCCCTGCGGCCACTTCCGTGTTTACACTCCTCTTCCCTCCAATTCCATGCGTACATTGTCAGCTTCACTCCCGCCCAATCTTCATTGGCCCAGCGCGGGCCCTTAGTCCCACCCCCAGAAATCAACGTTCTTATTTGGAACATCTCAGAGAGCAGATTGGAACCAGAGGCCTGTCAATCCCGTCCGTTCTGTCCTCTCCGAGGCGCTTCCGCTGTGGTGGGAGGTTTGGGGGGGAGGCGGACAGGGGGCAATTCCGTGCTGAGACTTCCCTAGGGCCAAGACGCCCTCCCTCTCTCCCGCCTCACTTCCTCACATTCACCCACTGTTTACAAAAATAAACGTTCTTCTCTGACGCCCCAACGCTCCAGGTCAGGGGTACAAAATACATTCCGTGTCCTTCCCATTCTCCCCCTAAAAAAAAAAAAAAAAACCCACGAGGGAAGGGGCATAAACCTAGTTCCTTCACAGCCACCCATAAGATGAGGAAAGGGAGGCGGGCCCCCTAGAGAAACATCATTCAGGTTACTCAACATTAAGTGACCCTTTCCAGAACCGTTACTCCTGAGGCTGCATACGGTGGGGATGTGAGGAGGAGGGAGGATCAGAGCATTTTTTTTTTTGGCGGGTATCAGTCCACCAGACACCGCCCGGGGCTGCCTCGTCCATGCGGAAGTAATGGAATTGTGGACGAAGTGTGAAAGGAGAACGAGGCGGTGGTGGCGAGCGTTCCCCGGAGAAGCCCGCCGCCCACGACCACGGGCAGCAGCGGCCTCTCCGGCCAGACAGCGTGGCAGGCGCAGCCGAGAGACAACAGCCGCACTCACTTCCTGGTTCCTCAGCAACTGGGGTGAAGCGCACAACTCGTCCGCCCCCGAGTCCCCAACTTAACCGCGGCTCCGTTCTCCAGCACCCGCTGCCAGCGCTCCGCCCGGCAGCAGCCGCCGCTGCTCGCCTAGCCCACCCTGAAGCGACAGCGCCGGATTCGAGGCAGGTTACTCTCCAAGGTGATCACTTCCTGATTCGTCGCCTCCATTACTTCATTCACTCCCCCCTTTCCCCCGGCCGCCCCAGTGACTGTGAGGTGGACACTGTACCCCCTGCACAGACCGCTACAGGGGAGTCACCCCGCCTTCTGTGCACCCCCTCTCCTGCTACCCCGATGCACAGGAGAAAAGTTCCCCTGTCCTTACCGGCCCGGATGAGCAGATCCAGCTGGTTTGTGGGTCCCTCATGCAGAGACGTCGCCATGTTTATCCCGGGGCTGGAGCTGCTGCTTCACATTGACTTACACCGTGAGCAGCGGCGGCGGGGGAGGAGGCGGAACCCGCGGCCGGAGACACACGCCGAGCGACCCACACACACTCACGCACTCGCACACACTCCGACGCCCGGATCCTTGCGCGTCCTCCGACAGGAAGCCGAGGCCGGCCCGCCTCCCGCCGCCGGGCTGAGAAACCCCACCACCTAACGGCAGGGGCAGGGGCGGCGGCGGCCCCAGCTGGCAACGCGATCCTTCCGCCCCGCGCCCAGACAGGAAGTCCCGGACGCCCGCTCCGGAGAGCGCCACAGCCCAAGGCGAGGAAGACACCTGAGGCTGGGAAACTGCTCCCCGAGACGCGGCGAGGACACAGTCGCTCGGCGGGAAAAGGCACATTTCACGCTCTGCGGAAGAAAAGTCTGCAATTGTCCCCCCTCTGGAAAAGAGCCATTAATCGTGTTTTCTTCCTGGAAGCGATCTAATACCTAGTCCCGCAGCTGTAAATAAAGGTGGCTATTTAACTTGTTTTGGCTTTTTCAAAGCTTATGCAACGTGTAAGCAGTTCACCTGAAAGATGTGCACTTTAAAACAGGAACACCAACAAAAAAGTCATACCTAGAAAATATTCTGAAAGCGTTACTTGGAAAGTAAAGAGCTTCCAACTACTTTCTGAGACCGACTTCGTCTTTACAGACTTCCCTTTACAGAAGTGCCAGAGAGCACACTAAACAGGTATTTAGTAAACAACAGAACACGCCAACCTCTGGGAAATGAAATTAGGCTCCCCCAATTTGCCAGTCATGAAATTCACGTACCCTTTCATTTCTGTTTGGTTCATTTGAAAACAAATGAACGTATTCATTTATATCGTCATCTACGTCAAAAAAATATTTTTTCCTAGAAACTAACCTTATTACAAATAAGTACGTATTAAAATACAATGGGAAAGGGAAATGGCCAATTTAGAGTCTATAAATTTTTTGAAAACAGGGAATCAAATCAATATAGTTAGGAATGAGACTTCATCAAAACAAGAAGATGCTTCCCTGGTTTCAGAATTTTGCAATATAAAAATTGTTTGAAGCGAAATGTTACCCTAACGTTGTCTGTACACAAAACTTACATAAAGCAGTGCCTCCTACGGATTAAATGTTCAGTAAGTATTTGCTGAATAAACACACAAAGGGGATTTGGCAGTTACAAACTTTAAATAACAAGGTAACATAACTTTTATGGTCTGAATTAACTGAACTGTGCTGGTAATCTAGAGAAAAATTTGCTTTCAGTGGTAATATTAATGCAGTATTATTTTATAAAAGTTTGGCCAATGTCAGTGCAGCATCAGCAATGGATTTACATAGCCCATGACTACTGTTGTCATTTCTCCAGGTATTCTTTTGGTCCTTTCCCCCAGCCCTATACCATGATCCCCACCCTCCCAAAAAAACCTACACGCCATTTCCAAAGTACAACTCCTTAAACCAAATAAGGATCTCTTCTTGAATTAAGTAAACCTGCCATGTATGGGACAAAATGAACTGGACGGTAGCTTTTTTATTGCTAATCAGTTTAAAATAAGGATCATCCATTGATAGGCAGCATCTTAAAACGGTAGTTTCCATGTGCAGGTAAGGATGCTAAGGTATGTAATTGCTGGTTTTACGAGGATCATTGAAATTGATAAGAAATCTGAATTTCTACTCCTACCAATCAATAGTTTTTCATGTATTGTTTAGAAAAGAGTAATGTAAGCCAAAGTTATTTTTGTGCAGGTGACAGAGCAACGTGGCTCAAGAAGAAATCAGTTTAAAGCTTTAAAGCCTGATACATAACTTTTACCTATTTGTTTTTGAAATACAGCTTAAGAACTGAATAGTGTACATATATGTATATGTGTATGTGTGTATATATTACTCTCTGTACATCCTGTGTGTCCCTGTCAGCTTTGTATTTTAAGCTCCAAGAGAACAGAAGAAGCTCTATCTATTCCTGCACAATACTCAAGTTATTTTATATATATACACACATACTCAGAAATTAATGCACAGACTGGAAAATACTCCCAAACTATACTGTATATTTAAAGCTCTTATAAAAACACAATTCCCTGGGCTTTAACGCAATTCTGCCTTGCTGATTACTGTAAGTAGGCTTTCAAAAGCCACCAATACTTTTTAGAAACCAGTAACACGATACTGGGAATATAAGGGTAGGCCACTGCTGGAAATATAAATTGGTACAAACTTTCAGGAAAGCAATGTGGCATATATTAAGAGTCTAAAAGAGGTTCATATTTTCTGACACAGGAATTTCATTTCTGGGGCCTAGCCTGAGGAAGTAATGAAGACATTCAATGGATGGATTGTTCTATTAAAAATAACTTGTTTCAGGAATTTTTAACAACATGAGAAAATACTAAAAATATAAATGTGGCAGGATTTAAATATATATATTTTTCTATACCATATGACTCAAACCATGTAGTATATATGAATATATGCATATAAAATATATGTATATGCATGTGTATATACATACACACATCTGTGTTTTTCAAGTCTTGACAATTGAATAGGTATTTATAAGCAGAATTTTAAAAACTTGAGTAAGAAGAGACAGTCTAGTATGGTAGATACTTTAGAGCAAATTCATATTCTGCTAGTAATATTAGAGGAAAGATATCCTTTGTATCAAAGTTACTGCTGTATCCTAGGAGAGGGAAAAAAAGGTAAATAACAGCCAACTCTTACTGAATGCTTACCAAATAAAAGCTACTATGCTAAATGCCCTGCCTTCATTTTTTTCACTTATTCAACTTTCCACATTCCCATGAAATTGATATTATAGTGCTCATTTTACAGATGAGGAATCTAAGGTTCCTTGCTCAAAGTCAAAGAGTTAATTAAGGGCAAGACCAGGATCTGAATCTAAGCACTGACACCAGAGCCCTCACTCTCAAACACTTCCCAGAAACCAAAGTAACAAAGCTTGTTTATCTTTTACAATGCATTTTGTTCCATATGGATTTTCTTGTCCACAAATTCTTCCATATTCCTCCCATCAAGAGGTGGAGCCTAATTACTTCTAAAAACTAGAATAAAGCTGAAGTGACTGGGTCACTAGCTCTTGGAGGAAGCCAACTGCCATGTCTCGAGTACACTCAAGCAGCTCTGTGGAGCTGGAACAATAAGACGAGGAACAGTGGCATCCTACCAACAGCCATGTGACTAAGCCATCTAGAAGAAAGACCCTCCAGTTCTAATTAAGTTCACAGATAACTGTAGCCTCTTTAAAGACCTTGAGCCAGATCCATGCAGCTAAGCCACTCCCCAATCCTTAACCTCAAAAACTGTGAAGTGCTAAGTGTTTGTTGTTTTAAGCTGCTAAATTTGGGACAATTTGTTAATTAAAGATAATTTGTTAATTAAAGATAATTAATACATTTCACAGCTTAAAGGAAAGGGTAAGTTTGTAAATGACTTCCAACTTTTAACTACAGAATCCTAAGCAATTTTTTTCACTTGTTAATTCTTTATAGTCTGGGCATCAGCTCTTTCAATCTCCAATCACTGCATTTTGAAAATATCTTAATAAAGATAATCATTATAATTGAAGTATAACTAAAAATAATTAAATGTCCTTGGCTTTTTTATAGTGTTCATATGCCACTGGCCACAAAATGTTCACTTGTGCTATTTGAATGGTTTTATGGTCCTGTAGTAACCAAGATGAAAAATTCTTGAGAGAGATGTAAATACACAATTATTTCTAATACCATGTAGGTTTTTAATGTTTTTATTTTTAGATCACTCTGATAATTTCATTTGTATTTTTTTCTTTATCTAGTATACAGAATCATAAAATGTAATGATTGGAAGGGAGCCTAGAGATCACATCACCTAGAGGTTTTCAAAAAATCAAGAACCTGAATATCAAGACCTCTTTTCCTTGACTACCATGAATTGTATATATTGTTTTAAAACCCAAATATATAATGTGTGCTCTATCAGATGGTATGTTATGCTACCTGCTATTTTACTTTACCTTATGCTATCTTATTCTAATGTAAACAAAGGGCAACTGGCTTTAGAGTTTTTTAAAAAAAAAATTGTGGGTAGGAATAAAAGGAAGGGGTCATTTTGTGACAGTTTCCTATTTTAGTAACAACAGCTCTTTGACCACCAATGGTAGAGTTATTTGAGAACTGCTGAATTAGTCCAATCCCCTATTTTACACATAAAAAAACTGAGGCCTCAAGAAGTTAAATAATTTAAAAAAGATCACACAGTATCTTATGACTTCAAGGTCAAAAATACCAAGAAACAGTTTTCTATAAAATTTAGAAGTTATAAAATAGATGAAAAGTTAAATCCATGTAACTACTATTATATTTATATATTGTAAACTGAAAATTGATGGATGTTTTGCTTTTTAGTGTCAAAGGTAAAGCAATGGGAAGTGTCTGAGAAATTAAAAGATAAAAATGGAAAAAAAAATTTTGAGCTGTGACTGGGGTGGGAGAACAATAGGAGGAGGTCAAATGGTCTAAGCTTTTCTCATACAACCAAACTAACAATGAAATTCAAAGCTGGTGTGTTGGGCATGTTTAGGGAAAAAAAGGAATCAGTAAAAATAATCTGTATGAAAAAATGTCTGTAAGGGACAACAATCTGGAATCAGGTGATACACAAGCACTAAGTTCAAGATTAGAAGATGGATAATAGTTATAGAAGTGCAGTGTACATATTTACAAGGAGAAAAAATTAACTATTTCATGTTTTATACTACTGTTTAAATGTCTGTTTGAAATTTTTATATTACTGATTTGTTTTAATTAATAACCAGGTTTTACAAAATAAAGATGAAGATGTTTGAACCCATAATCACAAATTCACTCATCTGTTCAACAAATAATTATCCAGCACTACTTTGACCAAGTTTCTGTTGTAGGTGTCTACTACTGGTAACACTAAATTATGTAACAAAAGAAAAAAATTAAGCTTTCTCAATTCACACAGAACCTCCCACCAAGAGAGAAAGTCTCAGAGACAATATGATATGCAAAACTGCTTATACATGAAATTTAGTAATAGTGGATATATGCTACATTTTAGACTACCACCCAAGAAAGTTAAATCATTTATATGCATAAAAGCCATCATAAGCCATAAGTTTTTTTTTGTTTTTTTTTTTTTTTAAAGAGACAGGTATCACTCTGTCCCCTAGGCTACAGTGCAGTGGTGCCATTGATCATAGATCACTGCAGCCTCAAACTCCGGGGCTCAAGCAATCCTCCCATCTCAGACTTCTGACCAGCTGAAACTACAGGTCACCATGCCCAGATAATTCTTTTCATTTTTTGTTTTTTTTTTTTTAGAGATAGGTCTCTCTCTGTTGCCCAGGCTGGTCTTGAACTCCTGGGCTTAAGCAGTCCTCCCACCTCAGCCTCCCAAGTAGCTGGATTACAGGTGCAAGCCACTAAGCCCAGCTAAATCGTGAATTTTTAATAAAGGTTCACAAAGGCAAAATTATGTTAAATGTACATTTTACTGAGGAGAAGGGCCACGGTTATTTTTAGATTCTCAAAGAGGTCCATGACGTCTCAAAGTTATTTTATCATAAGTTTTCCTGTTAAATGCATAACAGCATTCATTTTAGGGCAGGGACCATGAAAATCCTATGATGAGTAAGGGTCTAGTATGTACTATTTTTGATACAGACTTAGCTTAGCTTAGGTGTGATTTGACTTAGGTTCATGTTTTTCATTTTACTTAAGTTATCCCTGGGCAAGACTCCTGATTCTTCACTTTATGATTTATAACAGACAATCCACTCCTTCCAATTCTTAGAGACCACTCTTGGAAGACTGTCAATTAATTATTGCAGGTAAGTTTTTCTAATGGATGTTAGATAATTGTTTTAAATAGCACTTATTAAGCACCCATATGTGCATGACACTCTGCAAAGTGAGTTAAAATAGTTAACAGTCGGCCGGGCACAGTGGCTCACGCCTGTAATCCTAGCACTCTGGGAGGCTGAGGCGGGAGGATTGTTTGAGCTCAGGAGTTCAAAATCAGCCTGAGCAAGAGCGAGACCCCATCTCTACTTAAAATAGAAAGAAATTAATCGGACAACTAAAAATATATATAGAGAAAAAATTAGCTGGGCATGGTG